TTTATATATCATAGCAAACCTACACAGACTCTCATTACTTGCTTAGGCTTTCTCATTTTTTCTATTTTAGAAAATCGGATGCTATTTATAAATGGAATTGTTTTCTAAATTTCCTTTTTTAGTTTGTTTTTAATGTATAGAAAAATAGTAATTTTTATGCATAGCTTTTGTACCTGTAACCTTACTGAATTTCTTGACTGGTTCTAACTTCTTTTGTAATTGTTGTGGATGGTGTTCTGTGTACAATAGTCTATAGACAATTTGACTTCTCCCTTTGCACCTCTGCTTTATGTTACAAGTTTTACATTCAGCTTAATTTTTCCAGCTGAATTTTAAGTTTCTAGAGGGCAGAAACTTACTTCATATTATCCACAAAGCACAGGCCTTTAACACTGGCCACTCAAGAGGCAGAAACAGGATGAACACAAGTTCAAGGCTTGCTTAAGCAACTTGGTGAGACTGTCTCAAAATTAAAAAAAAATTTTTTTAATTAAAAAGTGCTAGGGATATAGTGGTAGAGTGCTTGCCTAGCATGCATGACACTCTAGGTTTGATCCCCAGTAGGGAAACAACAAAACTTAGCATGCAGGTCACCTGGGCTGAAGTCATCTTCATTATTGAAAGGTTTTCTTAGGATACATAATTCTTTTCTTATGGTCTTCCTCTTTAGAACTTTAAATGATAACGTTTTATTGTCTTTTGGTCATCATTCATCCGAGAGTACAACTGTGTTTCCGAGAGAGCAGGAGGGAGAAGGCAGGAAGGGAGGAAGGAGAGGTTAATTTTGGTTTTTACCAGTTTGTGCCTTTCTTTGTATTTTTCTATGTGAAATTTGTTGAGATTTTTGAGCCTTCAGCTTATTTTTCAGTAGATCTGGGAGGCTTTCTGCTAACATTTTTCCACGTGTATCTTTTTGTTCCACTCTTCAGCTTCTGCTAAGTTGCTTGATGTGGTCCCTCTTATTTCTGGTGTTCATTTTAGTCCTGTCTCCCTCTGTTTTAGAATAATTTCTATTTTATTACAAATCTGCTTCTCTAATTCATAAAAACATTTGAGTTTTCTGTTCAACTGCTGCGCTTTTCAGCTCTAATTGCCATTTGGTTCTTTGATACAGTTTTGTTTTCAGATTTCTCCCTTCGTCTTCAGTCACAGAATATTTTTCCTTTAAATTTTTGAGCATAGTTATAATTCCTTTAAATTTTCTGTTAAAGTCAACTTCGGGCTCACATCTCTATCAAATCCTTTTGACTTTTTCCTCTTGCATATGAAGTTTTGTGTTTCTTTGTGTTTATTGGTTTCTTGATATTGTTTATAATATGCAGTATAATAGAGGCTGGATTTTGTTACGCTCTTGTATAGACTTGATATATGTTCCTACAGCCTGATGCCTTAGCTGAATTCAGGTTTCAAATTCTTTCCCTTGAGATGAGTAACACTAGACATCTTTAATTTTGCTTGCCTACCACTATTGCCTTTTCATAATGTACAGTAGAGGCTTACCCAGGTGTTTTTTTTATTGATCATCCTGTGACACTGCAGTGAGTTTTCAGGAGTATTTTGAGGTTGTTTCTGTTAGAGACACTCTTCCTTTTAGACTTTCCTCCATAACTTTCCAGCAGTGCTGCCAGTCTAACTTTGTTCTCCAACATCTAAAAATGGGCTGCAGCTTTCTGTCAATCTGAGCCAAGAATAGATTTGTACCTTAAGGGAGAAAGATGCATATTTGCAGGTCTCAACCTGCTCTGCCTGTCAAGGGAAGCTACCTTCCTAGGTTGTGCTCTAGTGTTTTGAAATATTATTTCCTATACTTTCATTGTTATCTACAGGAGGGTTAGTCTAATTAAATTGTTTTACCATTATCTGAAGTTACTCAATGGAAAATCATTTTTATATTTCTCTTTGGAGTGAACTGCACTACTTACCCTGATTCATCAAGATCTGTTCCACTGAAGTCTGTTGTGGCTGTTTTCCATTATTTTATTACTTAACAGCCTTTATTCTACCAAAATGAAATGAATATGAAAGTGTTTGAGAAACTGAAGTGCTGCACAGATGCATTTTCACATTGCTTAGAGTTTAATTGTGTGCTACTCGGTCTCCCTAGATTTCTGCTTACATACATTTTGTTTTCCAGAGTTGGTTATAACCTTTATAAAATTAGAGTATTTTGATTTCTGATACATTAAGTAGCACCCCATACTAGCCTTTAATAGGTATTGACTGAACTTTTTTTTTTTTTTGGTCCTTTTAAAATAAACTTTTAATTTAATTTTTAAAAATTATTTAGTAACCACATAGTTAGAAGCATTTCATTACAATAGCATTGACATATTCAATAACAGTTTCCAGAGCAAAGATGCATTTCTTTCAAAATTGGCTGTAAATTTTTAGGTTCACAGTTGAATTAATACAGTTATACAGTATTGTACTCAGTATAAACCCTGTAAGACATAAAAGTGAATGAAGTTTTAAAAAAGATCATTTCATTTTAAAATATTCTGTTTTATACAGAAAAACTTATTTTTAATGCAACTAACACTTAGATGTTTGCACATGTGTCTTTAGTCTCTGTATATCTGATTACTGCCAGTCACAGTCGGTTACTTTCTGAGATCCTTGGTACCTGAGAGTGGATATAAAATCATCAGGTAGGTTTCATTGATAATGTTTTTCAAATTTTTATGCTTCTTCCTCAAATATAACTCATTTTATTTATTTATTTTATGTCCATACAAAACACCCCAAACAATCTTATTCTATATACCTACATCCCAAATGGCACCCTCCCATAGCCGTCCCGCTCCCCTCCCCCCAGCCCATATACTCTGTCATCCCTGTTTAAAAAAAAATAAAAGTAAACTTTTTTAGACAGCAGTTTTAAGAGTGTCAACAAAATTGAACAGAGAGTACAAGGAATTCCCATTAACTGCCCATCCTCAAATAACCCATCCCGGTATCACACCTGAGTGGGGCATTTGACCCTACATTGATACATGATATTATGAAAAGTCCATATTTCTCTCTTGTTCCTCCTTGGTATTGTGCTTTCTGTGGGTTTTGAGAAGTGTAGAATGACATGTAACATATTATGTATGTCTTAGTTTTTTGTGACTCTTCCAAAATATGTGAGATAACTTAAAGAAAGGTTTATTTTGCGCCACTGCTTTGGTGGTTTCAGTCCATGATCTTAGCTTGTCTTAGCACTTTGGGACGTGCGGGAAAATGGTACGTGATGATGAGAATACACGACTCCTAGTGGCAGCTGGGAAGTGAAGGAAGGAGCAGAGAGGAGGGACCAGTGTTCCAGTAACTTTTCAAGGGCATGCCCCCAATGACTTCATTCCACTTTGCCCCACTTCCTAAAAGTTCTCCTACCTCCTAGCAGTACCATGTTCTGGGAACCAAACCTAAAACATGGGTCTTTAGAGGACATTCACAATCCAAACTAAAGCTTACAGAATACTTTCTGGCCTTAAAAATCTCTCAGTGCCCCACCTATTCATTTCCTTCTCACAGCCCCCAACGACTCCTGTCTTTTTTGTTTGTTTGTTTTGTTTTACTGGTTTCTCTAACCTTTTCCATATATTATATAATTGGAATTGGTTTTTCTTATTTATTTTTATCTTATGTGTATGAGTGTTATGCCTGCATGTATGTAAGTGCACTTGCGTTGGGCATATGGAGGACAGAAGAGGGTGTTGGATCCCCTAGGACTGGAGTTATGAAGGGTTGTTAGCTGCCATGTGGGTGCTAGAATTCAAACCTGAGTCTTCTGCAAGAACAGCCAGCATCTCTCTATCCCTATATAATGGGAGTTGTGTAGTATATATCCTTCCCAGTAATAATGCATTTAAGATTTCTCTATTTTTTTGTTCATGTCTTGATAAACATTTCTTTTTAGCACTGAGTAATATTCTGTTGTCTAGAACTGGATCTGCCATAATTAATTTATTCAGTTACTGAGGGTATTGTGGTTACTTTCAGGTTTTGACTGTGTGTGTGTGTGTGTGTGTGTGTGTGTGTGTGTGTGTATGAGAGAGAGGATCTTGACTGTAATGTCTCCGTGCTGTTTGTAATATTGCTGTTTTATTTCTTTTTGATTTGTTATTTTATGTGATGAATATTTTGCCTGCATGTATGTAAGTGCACCCATGTCATGTAATGCCTGTGGAGGCTAGAAAAGAATATCAGATCCCCTGGAACTAAAGTTAAAGATGGTTGTTAGCTACCATGTGGGTGCTGGGAATTGAACCTGGGTCTTCTGTAGGAGCAGCCAGTGCTCTTAACTGCTGAGCTTTCTCTCTAGCCCTAGTGGAAAAGCTTTGAGTTTCTCATTACTTTGTATAATTATACATGAATAATATATGTAGAATTTTTGTAGCTATTATCAAGTTGAAACTCTCAGTGGTTGTTAAATAAGTTCAGTGCTTTTTGAAAACTACCTTTATTGATACCATGATTTTTTTTCTTTTTTAGCCTGTTTATGTGTTATTAATTGGTTTTTGAATGTTGATCCAGCCTTGCATATCTGGGATATATTCTACTTGGTCCTGGTACATAATTCCTTTTGCACATTGTTGAATTTAATTCACTAATATTTTGTTGAGTATTTGTGCATCTATGTTCATGAGTTTTTGTTGTTGTTGTTGTTGTTGTTTGGTCTGTTGATTTTGTTTTACGTGTGATAGCTTTGTCTGGTTTTGGTATCAGGATAATGCTGGCCTCATAAAATGAATTAAGAAGGATCCCCTGTCCCCCTGCCTCATTTCTGTCTTCCTTAAGGCTGCAGAGAACTGGTATGATTTCTTTATATACTTGGTTTTTGTTTACCTATGAACATGTTTGAGGGTTGCTCTATTTTGGAAAGTTATTAATTAATTCAGTTTAGCTTATTCAGTAGAAATTTTAAAATACTTTGAGTGTTCTAGAAGTAATCTTTAAATTTGGTTCATATATGTTTATATGAGATATTATTAAAAAATAGACCTGTTTTCTTTCAGCCTAGTGTGTTAATTGTAACCTACAAGGAGCCAGCAAAATCATCTACTCAGTTTGGATCCTACAAGCAAGCTGAATGGAGGCCAGATAGCACCATGATAGCAGTGTCAGTAAGTAGATCTTTTAACTCTCGTAGTATTTTCTCAAGAAAATAAATCTGTTCTCTCATGTGATTTTATCTTAGTCTTTCGCACACAGCATTTGTGTCTGTGACAGGAACTGCTGTACTGATTTTCCTGTGCACACTCTCCTGCTGTCTCTTTTGCCTGCCTGTGCTCCTTGTTGACTCCCTTCATCCTGCCATCTGAACAACACTTGTACCTTTTTGTGTGAAATCTCACTTTCCTGTTTGTCCTTGAAGTCTGATCCATTTTTTAAACCTTTTGTCCATATTCACATGATACTCTTGAGCTTATATTTGAAGTTTTGCTCTTCATTTTGGAGAGTATTGTAAAAATAATGTGTTTTACATCATATACTTTGCAGCATACTGAATTCTGCTATCCGTTTGAATCTATTTCTGCACTTTTGTTCATTAGATGTACCTAGAACTGGTTAATTTTACCATTTTAAATTTATATTTTATCACTGTCATCTTCAGGACTATTATCACCTATTATCACGTGCAGTAGCTATGAATAGTTAGCATTCACTGAACACTTCCTATATGAATCATTTCATTTTCTTTAGCTCAGGGCTCTGAAGTAGTACTATTCATAATAGACAAATTTATTTAGGGTCTGCAAAGTTAAGTCTGTCCTTCTCACACTGTAATCCAAGCTGTCCTTAAACTCGGGAAATCTTTCTGCCTCAGCTTCCTGAATGTTGAGATTATAGACATAAACCCCTATGCTTGGCTTAAAAAATTAACTCTATCCAAAGGTACACAGTTAATCAGTTAATGTCATTGTCTTCATCATCTTCATTGTCTTCTCTTATTTCCTTTGTTGCTGGAGATCAAACCTAGGGTCCCATACCTGCTAAGCAAACACTTTATCACTGAGCTACCACCCCCCAACCCACAGATAATGTGTGTATGGAAAAAAAATTAATTTAAGAATTTATATTTTTATTTACTGTACTTTTTACCCCAGTCATGAGGATCAAACTAGTGTCAGAGTAGTGTTTGTCAGGCAAGTGCTCAGCCGCTGACTCCCACCACTGTCCCTTACTACTACGCTCCTATGCTTACTTATCTGTCTGCTTGCTTTCGTTCTCTTTCTAGTCCATGATATATCATGTTGACTGGGTTACTCATCTGAAAATGTTCTGAAAGACCAAATATACCAAGGAGTTCTGGACTGCTAATAGCAGAGTTGGTAGATTAACAACAAATTCTGCCTGTTTGGTGTAGCTCAGAAACTAAGGATAGACTTTACATATTTAAATAATCAAAACAAATCAAAGTACATTTTGTCATATTTTAAAATATATATTTAAATTTCAATGACTATAAATAATGTTCACTGGAACATAAAGATACTCAAGTATTTGTGTGTTGTCTGTGACTTTTTGATACTACAACAGCAGATTGAGTTGAGTAGTGGTAACAACAGCTATACGTGATGTTCTCAAAGCTTTACTCTGTTCAGTACACTATAAATCATTGCAACACAGTGATAACTTCTTTGTATTTCAAGTGTCATGCATACTGTGACATTTTATGTTATTTTTATTACTAGTGCATACTGATTTCAAAAGAATGGAAGAGAAAAATGTCGTGTTTTAAACCACATTCAAGTCCGGATTTTTTTGTTATTGAATTAGATGGCAATATATTGCGTGTATTATGCAGTGCATTACACTAAAGCTGTGCCCAAAGAATGCAATACATGTGTTGTTATCAGACTAAGTGTTCATGGTATTTCCCATTCATTGAAAGTAATAGAAAAATTAGAACATTTAAAACAGTACTTTTATCACATCAGAATTTCATTACAAGAATAAATACAAAACTGCATTCAAAGTAAAACTGCTTGGCTCTTGACGAGTTAGCAGACGTTACAGTACTGCTCTGCTGTAGTTGATTCAAGTGATCATGCTGGGTATGGGGTAACTGAGAATTACCGTGTATAAATATCCTATATAGAACTCCCAGTAAATAAAATATTCAAGGAAGTTGAGAAAACTAATTTAGTATAAAAGCTGAAAAGGAATCCACTAAGATGTATATTAATTGATAACAAAAATATATGTGTAAAAGAAAAAAATTTAGTTGGACAGACATACAAAACTTGTGAAAATATAAGGCTTTTAAAGCCTATGACTATTGTATGTTTTTATCAGAGCTAGAAACCAAATATCCTGACTTGTGTTACCCTACAAGTGTTTGATTGCTTACTAATGATAAAAGTTTATTGGAAACTTTCTTAGCTTTGGTTGAAATTGACATTTTCCTGTACTTGAAGAGTTACCTTCTGACATTAAGTAGGCTTTGAATGACTGGAAAATAGCTGCTTTTGTGTGTACTGGGATTGAACATAGAGAAACATACATGCCAAGGTAATCACTCTGCCACTGAGCTATACTCCTAGCATAGAAAATAGCTTTTGCTGCAGATTTAATAAAAGCTTATTGAGTTCAGCCTAAAACAATAAACCCTCATCTGATGGTGAAGTCATTTCAATGACAACCAATAAAATTGTTTAAATCATAACCTAGTATCAGATTGATTTGGATACTTCCAGTGCTCCTACAAGTAAGGAAAAGAATATCTACGTCCATGCAGAATTAGGAGAAAATTTGTTTTCTGAGTTTGTGTAACAGTTCCAGTAACATTTTTATGACACTCATGCAAGTGCAAAGAAAACTTTGGTAGTTGTGGAGAAGAGAAGTTTTGCTGTGCATGGGATCATACACCTGTAATCCCAGCACTTGAGAGACTAATATAGGGTTGCTACAAGTTTGAGGTAAGGTTGGACTATGTAACAAGTACTAGGCCAGCCAGCAAGACTCTGTGTGTGTGTGTGTGTGTGCGCGCGCGCGCGCGTGAGAGAGAGAGAGAGAGACACTATACTCATGAAGCAAGTTGTCAGGTATGATATCTGTAAATTCTCATTACTGGCCAACATAGATAAATTTTGCAATCAATTTTGATGACCAGGAATAGTAACTTTAAAAATTTTTTTGATTCATTTATTTTTATTTTATGTGTATGAGTGTTATATAAATATATCCGTGTCGTGTAGTGCCTGCAGAGGTCAGAAGAGGGCGTTGGATCCCCTGGAACTGGAGTTACAGATGGTTGTTAGCCTCCATGTGGGTGCTGGGAACTGAACCCGAGTTTGCTGCAAGAACAGCCAGTGCTTTCAACCTCTGAGCCATGTCTCCAGCCCAATACTCAGCTTCTTCACCTTGCTTCTCTTACTCCTTCCCATGTCAACCATGGAAAAGTTCTTACCCCTATTTCACCTTCTTTCTGTGCCTCCTGACAGACTCTGGTTCTTCCTTTGGTATGACATGTTGTATACTTTCCTCCCCAGACTATAAATGGCAAACTCACAACACCTGAATAATAATAATAATAATAATTAAAATGTTAGTAATGATAAGTGGCCCATGGTTTTCTTTAGCTAATTGACTATATTGAAGCCTATAGGTTTAATGGTTTGGGTTAATAATTTCAATACCTGGACTTGCTTGGGGATTGCTTTTGTCATATTCTTTACTTGTAATTGTTTCTTTGTATTTTTTTTTTTACAAATTTTCATTAATACTGTATTGTAACTTTGGGAACTAAATTCTCCCAGCTTTTCAGAGATTGTTAGGTTTTGCTTATTGTGACTTCTCCCAGCTACTTGTGCAAAATACTTCTCGTGTGTGCATTCTTAGTAGTTTCTCTTCTGTTGGCAGCTAGTTACTTAAGGTTTCTTTTAAGTCTTACAAAGGAGTGAGAAGGATAGTTCCCCCCCCCCAAATCTACTCTTGACCTAGAAATCACACCAGCACCTGGGAGTGCTACCTCCCCAGTTATCAGAAGCAACAGTCAGCACCCATAATCCTAAGTGTTGGAGGACAAATAATGTCCACTCATACTCCAAGACACACCTGACAAAGTGGGCCAACTACAGAAAGCTAAATTGATAAAATTTACCAACCCTTTATCAAGCTGTTTTCTGGACATTGCACATCTTCCACTTAGATATGGACTTCCAAAATCATTATTTTAGACAATTCTTCTCAGTTCAGTTGTTTTGGTAGATGAATGGATTTTAGAGCTTCCTATGCTATTTTCCCTCCAGTCTTGTAAATTTTTTTATTTATTTGTTCTTTTGTTTGTTTATTTTCCTTTTTGATCTTTTAACCCAGCTGGACTGGAATTTGCTCTGTGGACCAGTCTGGCCTGATCTCATAGAGATCTTCCTGCTTCTGCCTTCTAACTGCTGGGATTAAAGGTGTGTACCTCCACACCTGACTTGATACCTGTTATTAATCATAGTTGAAAGTTGTGAATTGAATACATGAAGTCCAGGAGCAAAATGTTCTCTAGAGTATGTGTGGGGTAGATTGTGTATAGTTACTGCCCCCCCCCCCCAAAATCATTGAGTTTGTTTTAAAAACATGGTGGGAATATTTTCTTTTTAGTGGTTTTATGAAAATATTTCTAGCATTTTAGTTGGATTTTATTTATTTTTCTTTCTTGACTCTTTTGAGTAATTAGTAAACTTATTTTGATACAAAAATTCAAATTCCTGTGTGCAGTGGCAGTTGTAACTGCCAAGCTTAAGAATCAAAGTTTAGCTACTTGTGCCATTTTATGCTTTCTTTTGAGGATTCTGAACTGCTCAGTCTACTGAGGTGAGGTAATCTTTCACAGAAGGACCTGAGGATTACCTTTCCTAGTATTCCACTCTTGTGCAGTGAATTACAGCCATCTTTAGTCTTATTTATAAGACAGATACTCTTGGTAAGACTTTGGAAACAGCACACACCGTTCTCTTTACCAGTTCTTTCTGATTGTTCTTTCTCCTGCCTCAAGTAGTCTCCTCACATCCCTGTCCTTATTGGTAATTGTGAATTACTGCTCTTTGTAGTTCTTTCTGTCTCATATTTTGTCACATGAATTCTACCTCTAAGAGCTTTATTTTTCTAGGACTCCTAGCTTCATCTCCCAACTTGAGTCTGCCAGGCTGTGCCTCAGTTTCCTTTCTCAGTGTTATGACTTAGAAATTCTCATAAGGTTGTAAGCTAGGTAAGTGGAAAAGGGCCCACCTTCATTTCTCACCTTTCAGGGATGACAGACTTTCATTGCTTGATTTTTGTTTTGAAAATAATTTTTTTTTGTTTGTTTGGTTTTTTTGAGATAGGGTCTAACTGTGTAGCCCGGCTAGCCTAGAAGGCCTGGAACTTGCTGTGTAGACCAGGCTGGCTTTAAACTCAGAGATCCACCTGTCTCCCAAGTGCTGGGATTAAAGGCATGTGATGCCACACTCCACTGGGAAAAATAATTATTTTCGATGAGTGTTTGTTCGTGTCAAAAAATACTCATCACACATTTTCTATTTATGCATTTGTACAGATGTACAAACAGTATGTTATTATCTTGGGAGAACAGTATGATTTGGGTGACTAATTTGATGTGTTTTGTTATTTGAACATGTATAGTAAATATGAAAATGAAAATACACATAATTTACAGATCAGTGTGAAGAATTTAGATGTGCCAGTCTGTTATTTTGTTGTTAGTTGAAAAGAAAGTAATTTAGTGAATATTGGATGGTTGTGTGTGGGTATGTTAGCAGAGGGAATTGTGATTGTTACCTAAAGATTAAACAGTACCTACATGCTTTATTTACAGTATTTGGAACTTATAAAGAGAAAGGTCATTACAACGCTGCATAGTAACAGTGGAGATCCCATGGCTTAAGGGACAAAATTATTCAAAGGCAGAACTGTTAAAGAAATGGCAATGATAGGTGCCATTGAGATTTACAAGTGTATAACATTGGGGATACATACAAAGTCTGAAATACAAAGTAGTAAATGAAGACGTTTTGTGTTTTCATCTGGTGTATTGTGTGTATATAAAATTTCAAAATGCTTGTACAAAATGATGCTATACCCTCCCTTTCATTATAGTCTTATGTGTGATTTATTTTCTGAATATGTTATTAGATAGTCCAAAGTATTGAACTTTTTGGCCTTTAAGTGGATTTTAAACATTTGTATATAAATAACTCTTAAAAACTACTTTCCCAGCCCTTGTAAGGTGGCAGTAAAGTTTAAAATATGGTGATTATTTTGTAACGGGTAATAAAATAGTACAACTTGAAGCCATTTCCTTTCACTTTCATGGTCTCCCATATTGTAGGCATGTAAAATTACCATGAAGAGTAATCCTTCAGAAGGATAATCCTTTCTGAACAATGTTTATCTTGTTTCTTTTGTATCCTAGTAAGTTAAACTACAGTTTTTGAAAATATATTACAGAATAGTAAAGCTTAGAGTTAAATGCCAGGTCTGGCTTTGCTGAAGAATCTGTTTCCGCCCTCTTTCCTTTGAGTGAAAAACAGGATGCTAATACTGGAAAGAAATGTGAAACCCTGGATGATTGCTTTGATTTTGATTGTTTCTACTTTTGGTAGATGCCTGCTTGCCTCTAAAATGATAGGAATTTAATGTTACTATATAGAAGCTTGGGAAAAATGTTTGCCACTCTGTTCTTGAAAATTTCTTGTAGAGGCAATTATATATATATTATTTTATATATTTTATAAATATATAAAATGGCTTGAGCTTTACAAGTTATAGATATGTACCACAGTCATATAATATTGTTTGTATTTTTAAAAAATAAGATCCAGGGATTTAAATTTTAAAATTATTGCTAATTCATGCATGTTTTCTGGGCATGTGTGTGCACATGTGAATGTGATGACTATGGAGGCCAGAAGATGGTGTCAGATCCCCTGGAATTGGTGTTGTCAGTGACTGTGGCTGACCATGTGAACCCTGGAAACTGAACTCAGGTCTTTTGCAAGGGTACTAAGCACTCTTAATCACTGAGCCATCTCTCCAGCCCATTTGTATTATTTATATTTTATGTGTATGAGTGTTTCACCTGTATGTGTTTGTACATGAACCCAAGTTGTGCAGTGCCCATGGAGGCCAGAAGAGGGCATTGTATCCCCCTGGAACTGGAGTTAAGGGTCATTGTTAGCCACTGTGCGGGTGCTAGGAACTGAACCAGGGTCCTGGAAGAGCAACCAGTGCTCTTAACCTCTGAGCCATCTCTCTAGTCCCATGTTTGTATTTTTTTAAATTGTTGTTGGTTTTGTTGTTGGGCTGACTTTGTTTTTGAGACAGTCTCATAGGGTAGCCCAGGCTGGTCAGGATCTTGTGGTAGTACTCCTGCCTCAGCATGAGGCACCACAGCTGACTACATTAATTTTTTTATAAATACAATTTCTGTTTTTATAATACATAGTTTTTAAATTAAGATGTTCACACTTAAAAAAATCAGATTTTTTTTTTTTTTTGTCTTTTTGGGACAGGGTTTCCCAGTATCCCCAGTGGGCCTGACTCTCACTATATAGACCAGGCTGGGCCTTGAAGTTACAGAGATCTGCCTACCTCTGCCTCCCAAGTGCTGGGATTAAAGGCGCGTGCCACCACACCTGGCTCAGATGTTCATATTTTTGAAATTGGAGATTAACTCTAGTTAGCTGATACTCAAATTTTGAAAATTCAAGGTTTGTTTTTGCTTTTGTTTTTTCAGTGTCTCAGGGTGTGCTTTATAGTAAGTGGCAAAAAATTTATTAAGTATGTAAGTATGCTATTTTGAAGTATGTAGTAAAGTTATTTGAGTAGACTCAAATAATTTTATACTTATACTATTTGGTAGTGTGTCGCTTTACAAGCTTAGAATTATTTGCCACGTTTTTACAGAGTTCAAAAAGTGTTTTGCAAAGTACTCATCTTTTGAGTTACACAATTATTTGAGAGTATTCATTTTCATAATATTTTATAAACTATTGATTTGTGTTATATAGTTTATAAAATACTTTTAAATATGCTAAAACCTTAAAATGAGCTATATTAAAATTCATTCATATAAAGAGGCTATAATTCTTTAAAGGAAGGTTAAGAGTGAAATTTCTATGTATAGTCATATATAAAATTAAAAATTTGTGACAGTTGTAACACTGTTTAATTCATGAAAATTTCTCTTTCAGACAGCCAATGGCTACATCTTGTTTTTTCATATTACATCTTCAAGAGGGGACAAACACCTCTATGAGCCAGTGTATCCCAAGTAAGTTTATTGACTTTCATTCTTTTAGTACATGGGTTGCATACTTTATATTTAGAAAAATACTGTATTTTCGGGTTGGCTAAAGTTACTAAGATACTAAGTTAAGTCAGCATTTCTAGAATGGTGCTTAAGAAATAACCAGGGTCTTTGAACTGTCATTTCTTTTTTTCTTTTATTTCATGTGTATGAGTGTATTACCTGCATGTTTGTAAGTACATCTATGTCATGCACTGCCTTTGTAAGAGGGTGTCAGATCTCCTGGAACTGGAGTTACAGAGGGTTTTTAGCTGCCATGTGGGTGCTGGGAACTGAACCTGGGTCCTCTGTAAGAGCAGCCACTGCTTTTAACCCCTGAGCCATCTCTCCAGCCCCTGAACTGTCATTTCTTAAATAAAGAAATCCAGTTAAATAATTCTGGGAATATTGACAAATGTGTTGCATCCTTTCTTAGACATTCAACATTACTATTAATATAACTTTTTAAAAAAATTTGTTATTTTTATTTTATGTGTATGAGTGTACTGCATGCATAGAAATGTACCCATGTCTTGCAATGCCTGTGGAGGTCAAAAGAGGGCATCAGATCCCCTGGAACTGGAGTTACAGACAGTTGCTAGCCGTCATGTGGGTGCTGGGAATTGATCCTAGGTCCTCTTGAGCAGCCAGTGAGCTCAACTGCTGAGTCATCTCTCTGGCTCCGATAACTCTTAAGTCTTCTATTCTCTAGCCTTTATTAGGGAGAACTGAGAGATCATAAGAAGAGATCAACTGTCAATCAATTATAGACTTCTTTAAGAAGCCTGTGTTTTTATGAATGCATAGGAAAAAACAAAAACAACAACAACAAAAAAACCCACCCAGACAGTTGTTAGCACTTGGAGAACATAAACTCTTGCATTTTAAATCTTTAAACTGTGTCATTATGTTTTGCATTTTTCCTCCATTGCATACTTTACTTTTAAAGTAAAACAATATATACTTTTAAAGCATGACATCTTTTCTTTAAAAAAAAGGCTATAAACTAGACATAAATTTGAGTATCCATCACATTTCTGGAAGGTAGAGGATATACAAAGTTTAGTAGTTAAATAAGAAATTAGCGAGCGTGCTAAATAGTTGAACAGATAGTGCAGTGATTAAGAGAATTTGCTGCTCTTGCACAGAGCCCAGGTTTGATTCGCAGTACCCACATGGCAGCTCACAACCATCTGTAACTCCAGTTCCAGGGAATCCAATGCCCTTTTCAGGCACCAGGCACAACCTTGTGCACATACGTATGTGTAGGCAAAACACATTCATACACATAAATTATAAATAAATAAATTACAAAAAAATTTGTGTTAAATAAAAGATTTCATTTGAAAGTTTTATTTCTGAAAATTAACAGGAAAAATTATTTTTAAAGCAAGTATGAAAATTAGGAAAAATGTTTTTAGTCAATAGACTGTTCTACATAAAGGAGTTATATAAATTGCTAATAAGTACAGAAAAACTATACTAGATAAATAGGTAAAAGCAGTCTCATAAGAGGAAATAAGGTGCCTGTAAACACCAGAGAAACTGTTCAGGCTCAATATCCAAAAAAGACATCAAATTCAATAATTTTTTTTTTTTTTGGCCTTTCTGAGACAGGGTCTCCCTGTAGCCCCAGCTGTCCTGGAACTCACTATGTAGACCAGGCTGGCCTTGAACTCACAGAGATCCGCTTGCCTCTGCCTCCCGAGTGCTGGCATTAAAGATGTGAGCCACCACACCTGGCTCAATAAATTTTTTTAAATCCCACACATTTTAATGAACAGGGATATTTACATATTTTAAAATGATCACTCAGTAGAGGAATAGTAAATCTTGTGTCGCACACTTCTGATAGTAGCTATACACAAAATGTGATAATAGGAAGTTGGTTAGCAGGTTTTTTTGTCAGGCTTCTCTAGTATACATATTAAAGAGGGATTTGTGAGACTGACTGACATGATTCTGTCTGAGTAGCCCCCAACAATGGCTGCCTTCATACTGGAGAGGCTGAGTCCACAAAGCTGAAAGCCCCTGAGGTCCCAATCTGGTGCCAAGGGCCAGAAGGACTCTTGGAGAGCCATTGGCCCTTAGTCTGGGTCTTATGTCAGCAAAGGACAGCAGCAGCAGTGTAAATGTATTCATCAGCAAGAGGCAAAGATAAGCAAGCAGAAAGCAGCAGCTTTTCCTGTCTCCTCATCTGCACTGGGAAGGTGCTGGCCATTGTGGGAGAGAGCTTCCCCCATTCAGCTCACCTTCCAGGAAATACCGTAAAACCCACCCAGAGGCAGCTGATTCCATATCTAGTCAAGTTGACAACCAAGATTAATCTGAACCACAGCAAGTTAGCTGATATATCTGTCTCAAGTAAGATAGTATCACTATAGTGTTTTGGAAAACTATAAACTGGAGAACTTGAGCATATTATAATGCCAAGTGAAGAAACACATCACACAAAATGATATGTCTATAATATATGTAATATGACAACTTCTTAAAATAACAAAGTAAAAAAAGTGCAAGATCTGGGTTTCGTGGCATATGCCTGTAATCTCAGCACTGCCTGGAGTATGTAAGTGAGTACTAGGGTGAGGAAGGCTGGGTAGCAATAACTTGTCCTTTTAAATTAAAGAAAAAAAAGACAATGGTCTTGTCCTCTGTCTTTCTCTTATCTTTGTGCTGGCCCCATTCTGTTCCTTTTCAGCTATAGCTGAGTTTCTTCTAATGTGAGCAAAAGTTTCTTTGTTCCTTTACCCTGAATGGTGAGTTCTCTATAGGAAATAGCATTTTCAGGCTGGAGAGATAGTATACCAAGTTCAGTAGCCAGAATCCATGTTAAAATGCCAGGGGTGGTATCATGTGCTTGTCATCCCAGCACTGGGGAGGTGGAAATAGGCAGGTCCTTGGGGATTGCTGGACAGCCAACCTAGACTGCTTGGTCCCTCTGACACCCTGCCCCCAAACACACACACGCACACACACGGGCACACACACACACACACACACACACACTTAACATTTGGGGCCTGTGTAGTTGTCCAAGCCTTTATCCAGCACTGAGAAGGCAGAGGCAGGCAGATCTCTGAGATGGAGGCCAGCATGGTCTACATAGTGAGTTCCAGGCCATTTGGGGCTACAGGAAGACCCTGTTTCAAACAAACAGACACACACGCGCATGCACACACGTAACATTTGGGGCCTGTGTAGTGGTCCAAGCCTTTATCCAGCACTGAGAAGGCAGAGGCAGGCAGATCTCTGAGATGGAGGCCAGCATGGTCTACATAGTGAGTTCCAGGCCAGCTGGGGCTATCTATTTAGCATTGAATATATTGTCTAGATAACTTGGTTACTGCCAGTTTGTGGAGTTTTGGGGGGAGAGATATAACTAGACAGTTTGTTAACGTTTCAGTTAAAAGAAGACACTTTATGTGGTGTGTTGTCTGTTTATAAACAATGTTCCCAAGGAAGGAAAGCACACTATTTAACATACAAAAAGTAATTTAATGTTTAGCATTAAAGTGTGTGGCACCACTCAGAAAACAACCATCATGAATACAAGATATTTTTCAATGAAAAGTAAGTTCTACAGCAAAAAAAAAAAAAAACAACCCAGAAAATAAACATGTATTGCTTTTACTTTACCAGAATATAACTTCTAGTAGCTACTAGATTAATTCAGTAAGATCAGTGCACAAAACTTTGAAGAACTTCTTGTAAAATGAAAATTTAAATAAAAGCCTTTCAACTTTTAGGAGTTCGGTTCCTGTTTTTAAAACCAGAAAAATTGTGGTTATACAAAGGTTTGAAGAGAGTTTAAAAAAAAATAAAGCTGGTTTTGGTATTGTTGTCCTCTGTGCCATTGTAAACACTCACATAGTTAAGTAATTTAATTATTAAACTGCTATACAGAAAAGCCATCTAATGCATCCATAGTCACATGCTATCATAGTGGCATAGCGAGGATTTGCACATACGTGTTACAGTTCCAGAGTCTATACTCTTCAACTTGGTGTCTTATCTAGCAGTCTCCTACTTTTTAGTATTTATCTGGGGAGTATGGCATAGAAAAAAAGGCAAAATTAAAAAGTGATTTGTAATAGTCCTGAAGAACAGAGGCAGCATAATAAAGACCAATAGTTAATTGTTTCTTCTTCAATTATAGAACTACTGTTGTCTCATTTCTCCTACCTAAATCTCATGAGTTCACCACACAAACTTTTTCTAGAGCGTCTCCGCTTTCCTGTATTGTATGACAGCATCTTAACCTCAGGCTACATATCATTTTCCATTACACTCCAACTGAGAACAGGGTCAGATGCCTACATCTTTAATAGTGTCCACCAGTGTTTCTAGCATTCTTCTTGTAGACCCAGAAAGTCTCACTAAATAACCTGTCTCAAAGGTCATTAACTCTTTGATAAATGAATTTTCTGTTTTATCTTTTGTATCTTTATGAATTCCATTCGATAGTCAAATATCTCCTCATATTTACACAGACCAGTATGCAGACTGGCTGAAGATATTGATTTTTTTTTAATTTTTATTTTATTTTTTTACGTTTTAAAATTTGCACTGAAATTGATGTTGGAAACCTTGCCCAGGATAAATCAGAAATAATTTATGCTTAGCTTTGAAAAGTGTTCGTGTAATTATGTTTATAAGTTTAGTAGACTTTTTTTTTCTTTTTTTCGGAGCTGAGGACTGAACCCAGGGCCTTGCATTTGCTAGACAAGTGCTCTACCACTGAGCTAAATCCCCAACCCTGATTTTTAACTTGTTAATTAATTTCATTTCTTAATGAAAGTAGTTTCAACAAATAAGCTCATGTATACTTTTTTGATTGTTTTTTGTATTTAAAATTTTTTTTTTGTTGGGGGGCAGTTCTTTTTGAGACAGGGTCTCCCTGTAGCCCCAGCTGGCCTGGAACTCACAATGTAGACCAGGCTGGCCTTGAACTCACAGAGATCTGCCTGCCTCTGTCTCTCAAG